CAAAGCTTAAATGGATATATCTCACAATTCAGATGGGTTACCAATTTCTTTGCAATTAGTACTATCTAAAAGACACTCAAAATGAACAACACTCTATTAAGAAGAAATAAAATATGAATACATTGAAATGAAAAGAAAAGTATTGAATAATTTACCTTTGATTCTTCAAGTTTCAAAATGGTATTTTGAATCAAGGTTGTCTTTCCTGTACCATGTTCACTGATAATTAGAAAATAACTTCCTCCTGAAAAAGGTTGCAAAATTTGATTCAGAGCCTTTTTAAGATTCTCACAATTGGCTAGTTTTTCTAAATAATCTCTACAAACGATTTTTCCCTTCTTGAAAATATCTACCATTTTTCAGAGCTGAGAATTAGGGCTTCCATTGGTAAAGAAGCTGTAATACTAATACCAGTGGTAAATAAAATTTTATTTCTCGCTGACTAGAAGAAAAACTGGTTAAAATGAGTGGTGAAATTTTGAAAACATCTCAATAAACTTAACTTTCTTGGTTGAATTAATCATGACAATCTTAAATGAGTTCCAATACTTTTTCAGTATTTCTTCTGTTTGTTTAGTAAGAGCAGGAGTAAATATTGAGGCTATGTTAAAAGGATTAATTATAACTTACCTAGTTGTACTTTTCTTTCCTTAAACACTAATATAGAATCAGATCATTATTAGTTGACAAGATCTAACATAAAGCAACACAGCAGAGTGAGTGTAAGATAAATACTTTAATAAGTTCATATTCAACAAGTATTGAATAAAGTAGCTGTTGCTACCCTGAATATGAAAAATAAATACATTACTGATAAACAACTTAAAGTTGTCTTTAATTTATTTATTTTATCTCATCTTCTTTATTGCATTCAACTGACCTTTTTAGATTACAAGTTTTATAACAGAATAATAGATTCATATTAGAAAGTCTTTTGATCAACACTATATTTAACCAAAAATACTTCTGCAGCAATAATCTATTCTTCACTATTTTATAATGTTGCACATTTATATTCAGTGCAAATATAAGCCAAATTATCAAATTTTATTAAGATGATTGATAATAAAGATATCTTAAGCATAACGTTTTTGATACGTAATAGATAATTACAATTTTAATAAGTGACTTATCTGCTTACTATTATTAAATTAGCCATATAATTCAACTTTTAAATTCAAAGTTTAGTAGTCCATCTTATTATCAGCTTTAAAGTTCTTAGATATTATAATAACTTAAGATTGCTTGTCTAAACTCATTTTGAATTTAGCAAAATGTCTAAACTACAGTTTTGCTAATTTTTTACTAAGATTTTGATATAGTTTTACATTTTATAAGCTTTA